ACCCAAACAGGCCTATTAGAAAATGCTTTTTTTTGTTGTTTAACATTTTTTTATTTTATTGAGTTATAGTCATTTTACAATGTTGTGTGAAAATGCTCTTAACATGACATTAAAGCATCAAGTAATCATCTCTTTCTTTTGTATGAGTTTCCTAGTGCTGCTTTAATAAATCACCACAAACTAGGTGGTTTTAAAAACCACATTTTCTTACGGTTCTGTTGAATGGAAATCCAAAGCCAGTTTCATTGGGCTAAAATCAGTGTCGACAGGCCCTGCTCCTTCTAGAGGCTCTATGGGAGAATCTTATTTCCTTGCTTTTAACAGCTTCTAGAACTGCATTTCTGTGTGTGGCCCCTTCCTCCATCTTTAAAGACAAAAGTGCAACATCTTCAAATACCTGTGCCTTTTCTCTGTGAGGACCTTTATGATTATATCTAGCACACCTGGATAATCCAGGGTAACTTCCCATTTCAAGGCCAACTGATTAGCAACCTCAGTTGCCCCTTAATTCTCCCTTGCCATGTAACATAACATATTCACAGGTTATGAGGATTAGGACAAGATTTCGGGGGCAAGGTGGAAGGAAGTGATCATCATTCGTCCTATCACACCCTTGTTTCCAAATTTTGAGTAGTTCTTTAAACCTTATCCTATATATTTTGTTCTCCAACTTGCTTTTTTAACCTTTCTTTTCACTCAGCACATGCTGTATACACCCACTCCATTGTTCTTAATGACTGGACAGAACTTCAGTTATGGAATTGCCAGAATTTAATCATTTCCCTATGGATGAAAATTTAAGTTACCAATTTTTCATTTACAAACTGTGCCTCAGTGAACATTCTTGTACATATCTCTCTGCACAATTGTGGCTGAAAAATTCCTAGAGGTTAAAATTCTGAGATAAAAAGTATACCCGTTTAATTTTGACAAATACTGACAAATTGTCTTCCAAAAACTTGTGCCAATACTTTACTCTCATACCATTAATGTATGGAGAGTGCCTGTTAATCTCCAGTATTACTTACACTCAATATTTTGGACTCACTTGTCTTTTAGCATCTATATAGCACTTTCAGATATCAGCATAGGTTTTCCAGGGACAAAATAAGAGTTTAATAATTGTCTGATTAATTGAATTGAAAGTTAGAACAATGCAAATCCATGTGTACAACTCAGAGGGCTTGTTCTAACAATGACATAGTGGTACGAGAGCTAACACGTGTTAAGTGTGTCTTGAATTTTATAAAGTGCTATTTCTCCTCATGGAAATGTGTTTTCACACGTAGTTCCCATATCTCACACAGGTTGGCCTTGCTACCTCCTGGGTTCACATGGTATATGCTTTGTTGCCAAGGCTCATAACATACTCTCACTGAGTACCTCAGAGGCTCTAAGGTCTAAAGTGTGTGACTGATGGTGCCAGTCCTTCAGGAGGAAAGGCAGGATAAGATTATGGGCATATGCGTCCCCTGGATAGTAACTGTGTGGCTGAACCACACTGACTCCATTTTGTCAGCTCCACCTGAGGCCCGCAGCCCTACCCTCTTCCCTCTTTGCATGACTGAACTTCAGCGTAACTCACAAGGAATGCACCCAAGCCAGATGAGTTCCCTATCAACTTTTACCCTGCTTTCATCTGATATGAAGAGTTTAAGAATGCCTTTTGCTGACACAGGTGGTTAATGGTCATGAGACCCCTGCGGGGGAGGAAAAACAGCCAGTTTGCAACAGTGTGGACATGCTTCTCCCTTGGTAGTCAGATTCTCTTTTTATCTTTGGCCCCTTTAAATGACCCTGTACCGCTTTCAGCGGTGCAGCGCACCGTGCAGCTGAGAATACCTCTGAATTGTTGCTCACTTGATCCTGCCTAGACAGAAGTTACCCACAATAAACTTCATAATTGCACTTTATGGAGCTGCCTGCTTCATTTTTCAGTCTTAAAGTTCCTTCTCAGTTTGGAGGATATTATTCAATATCCCCGCCTCCCAACAATAATAAAGCCCTATAGCAAAAGCTTCAGAGAAGGAGGATCCCCACTCTTTGGTAAATATTTTGGAGGGTCCAGAGTCAAGTGATTTGATACTAAAGGATTTCTCAGAGACAGAGCCTCATGCATTTAGATGGAGTATTTGGGGGAGTACCCTATAGCCACCCACCTCAACCCTGCCCCAGGAAGCAGCAATCAATTCTGTAACACCAAGGACTATGACCTTGTGAGGTGCAGGCATGAGAGGGTAGCTGAAAGAGCACTCAAGGTTGACCCAGGCTCTCAGGACTGTGACAGCTCCTGGAGGGGCGTTATTCAGCACTGTCACCATCCCCTGGCCTGCTCTAGAACCAAGAGTCAGCTTCTCAGCAGGAGTAAGAGCAGTGTTGGCAAGACAAAGTATGACAGCATGAGCTTCAGCACCACCCTGCTCTGATTGCTTGTTTCTGGAGGAAATATTCATATAAACCTGCCTGGGAATTGCTCCTTCCTGTTTTATTCCCACAACCAGGGTCTGGAAGGTGTGTGTTTAAGAACATAGAGGAGACAAATCCTGAAACTAGAAAGGAAATGAGTCCTTCCACCATCCTTCCCCTCTCCCCAATCCCACTTCCCAACCCTCCCTGTTTCCAACCTTCAAGTCCATGTGAACACACGCTCAGTTTTCATCCCAGGCCTTTTAGGACTTGACCCTTCTCTAGAGTGGATTGAATGGTGCCCTTTGATAAGGAGTATTTGTGAGAAAGCCTGCTTGATATGAACCCAGCCACAGCCCATAAAATATTGCTGAAAGCACTAACATATTAAAAATAGTTTCACAAAGGACCTAAGAGGACTCAGAGGTTTGTGTCATGATCAAGAGTATAAGCTCTGGCCGGGGAGGGTATAGCTCAGTGGCAGAGCACATGCTTAGCATGCACAAGGTCCTGGGTTCCATCCCCGGTACCTTCTCTAAAAAATAAGTAAGTGAACCTAATTACCCCCTAAAATAAAAAATAAGTAAGATAAAATTTTTAAAAAAGAGTGTAAGCTCTGGAGTCAAAGTGCCCAAGAATGAATCCTGGTTCTGACACTAGCTGTGACCTTAGGCAGGTCACTTCACTTTTCTGTACCTTCGAATCTTTTTTTTATAAAATGGGGAATAATAGTATCTACCCTCATAAGAGTTGTTTTCAAGGCTGAATCAAACAATGTATATAAAGCACCATGCCAGATATATAGTAAGTGCTCATAAATATGAGCTAGTGTTTAATTCTCTTGCAGTGCCTCATGGTTCTACGCCCATAGTCTTTAAAGCATTTGTGGAGCAAATGAAATTGACAACGATTCATTTAATCCATTTCCCCAGCATGTTCACTTGGCCTACTGAATTTCCAATGACATGAGAATAGCTGTTGCTACCGTAGCCTAGCTTTCCCCCCTGAACTTCATAGTTCTGCACTCCTATTCCAAGACTCATTTGCTGGCCCCATCTCTGGCCCGCCTCCCACTCAGTTAGACTTGCCCCTATGCAAGTACCGGTGTGGCTTTAAGATTTCAGAGGGTAAAAAGAGAGTAGTCAATTAAAGAGGTGTTTGCAGGTAGAAAGGAGCACGTTCCTCTGCCCGACCACCTATATCCCACAATTCCTTCATCTCTGGTGTATCTAAAAGATTGCTGTGGAACAGAAAGGCCACCACCTATAGGAGGTTCTGTATGTTCATTTGTATAATGTATCCCTGGAGTCTCTTCTCCCTGGGTAAGGGTAGCAGGTTTTTCCGGTGGAAGCTGCTCTACAGACCTCGCCCTAAACTCTCTGCATTCCTGGGATATTAAGTCACTGAGGCTGGAGAGGATACACGGCGGGAAACACTCCTGGTCCAGCACGAGGCAAATCTCTCAGCCTGTATATCTCCACGCCAGCTCTAATTGGCTTGCCTGGCTCAGTGTGTGTCTCTATGTTCTCATAGCACTGGCCCCTGAAGGAGTTGACTCACATGGCTTTTATGGACCAAATTATAGTTCCGCACACTCTTGCTCTTAATGGAAGGCATATTAACCACTGGGGAGAAATTCTTGCTTGAATTCCAAGGGGACAGTGTGTTCTTCTGGAGGTTTGGTAGATTATTTCTTTCAAATGCACCTTGAATAACACTCAGAGGACAGCAGTGTGTGCTTTTTATGACAACAACCTAAGTCTCCATCATGAAAGATGAGGATGAGGGATGAGGGTGTTAGACTGAAAAAGGAAATCTCCACTACTTCAAAGCAAGTCACTTCGCTCTCCCCCAAATTAAATTTCCAATCGTTTTAGCCCTAAACAGTGCTTGAAGATGGAAAAGCTTCACTAGACATGTCAGGAAATAGGACAATTCTGGCTCAGAGCCCTGCCACTTAGAAGAGGGAGCTCTTCCAACAAAATGTCCTGACATGGGATAAGAGGAGGGGAAGTGGCTAAAGATAAATTCCTAATGTGATCCCAAGAGTAAAACTGGATGAGAATGAAAAGCCTTAGGTTAGATTGTTCACAATTCCTCACAGCATTGTGATGGTCACAACTGGTACATGCTACTTGGAGTTCTTCTCACTTTCCTGGTCTGTGAGGGGCAAGCATCAGTTAGGTAAATGCTGGGGGACTCGGTCCCAACAGGCAATGGCCATAGTAACTTCAACCGCTTGGTAACTTTAGAGGCATCCAGCTGGCATGCTCATCAAAATACCCAACAAATATGAGATCTAAACACTAAGATAATTAAGAAAGAGAGACCTGCATTCATCCATTGGGGGTGTGGCAATGAACAGACAGCTGATAAGCATAGGCTCCTTATTAGAAAATAAAATCGTGTGGGCAGAAAGCAGTACTGATGATGATTTAAGGTGATCAGACCTAGTTTCCTTCCTCTGCCTTCACTCTGCCTTGGAGTGTGAGCCACTGTCCCAACCCCAAAAAACATAAAAGTGATGTCCAAGTTATTTTTACCTTCTCTCTTCCCTAAAAAGTCAAATCAACAAAATACTCAGGACAGTAGGAGACACAAAGCAATCTTCATTTCTTTCACAATTTAGAAACATTTTCAATTACAGTTGAGCTTCTCTGAGATCCACATCAATTTTGGTAAAAGAGCACAGAAAAAGCCAGGTTGGAGGAAATCCCTGATAATGAGGCATGAAGCTTTGACTCAACCAATCCACTCAACACGCTGGAGGCCCATGCAGGTCCCTGAGATAAAGAGTCATTCTGGTTTATACTTTTAAGGAATCCTACTCTGCACTCCCTCCTCAGAGCATGCCTTTGAAGGGCCACTAACAAGTAAGATCCTTGATGAATGATCACAAGTAAAATCCTAATGGAGAACTAATTCATTTGGGGAGCAGCTCTTTTAATAGTAGGGGTTTTCCTCTTAATCAGAGTTTCTCATTGGCATTAAAAGACCCCAGCCACGTTCACAGTTACAGGTTCCACATTAGTCAGACCGTTTCCTGGGAGGTACCCATAACCAGTAAGCAGTCACACCCTCTGATCAGTCAAGGTATATTCTGGTGGGATTTGGGGCCTTTCAGCTCAGCCTATGGAAAGGTCAGTAATGCTCAAGCAAATGAGCAGAGCTTAAAGGTCAGAGAACCTTAGGTGTGTGGAGGTAAGTCATCCCAGAGGGCAGTCAGACAGCTGACTTGGGTGGGAGGGATGTGAATGATATCTCTGACCCTCTCAGGTATACAGTGGCTACCTTGGTATCCAAACATAGCAGTCAATCTTAAGGAAATCAAATCTATTTAGGGGCTGCTCTTTCTTCTGATAGGATTACCAGAAAACTCAAAACAATGTCCTGGTGGGTCCTCACCCATGAGCCTAGTAGTCTCCTTCAATTTCCCAGTTGCTCTTGGCAGTTTCCCCAACCCATTCCCACATACCCAGAAGACAGAATCAGACAATGCTTTGCCTTTCTTCAGCATCAACAGATGGCTCTGAGTTCTCAACCCTGCCCCGAGGATGTCGGTGGCAGCAGACACAGTGGAGGTAATCCACTACATTGTGGGTGAAGAGTGAGCGCAATGGGTGCAAGTACTGGAAGAAAAGGAGCATAAAGCCAATGGAAATCAGATAAGCAATAATGAGCTGCAAGGCAATCAAGGAATGACAGTAATTCAGTAACACTTTCACGCCAAAGAACTTAAAAACTAAGACCATGATCACATTCTCTATCAATCTCACACTATAGTGAAGGCCCATATGTCCCCAGTTCTGACCTTTCTCAACAAGCTCCCTGTCTGCCAACTTCAACTGCAAAGCCGACCAGCAAGAGAAATTGATGCCAGCGTAGAGGACAGTAACAGAAATCAACACCATCAGGGTGCCGACCCGGCTGAAGTTTTTCTCAATGTTATTGGGCATCTGGGCCCCACTCCTCCAGAACTTAACCCAGGGCTCAAAGAGGATGATCAGGAAATTGAGCAATAAGAAGGGCACAGCCTTCAATTTCAAGGTGGCTGAGAAGAGCACCAGAATCACAAGGCGGGAGGTGATCTCCAATGTCCGCCAAATGGTGATGCAGAGGACTTCTAGTGGCCCCAGGCGAATCTTGTATTCATCGTACTTGATCTGGATAGCCAACATATTGCAGAGGGTAGCCCCATAGGTGACAGATATCAGGGAAAAGACCATTAGCACAGCTGTAAGAAAAAAAAATAAAACAGAAAAAATAGGCAATCAGTCAATGTTGGTGAAGTCTATATTCTGACCCAGAGGTTCAGAGAGATGACAGGTGAGACTTGACGGGCCCAGTTAAGAGCAAATCTAAGTATGAATACAGCTACATAAACGAATAACATGCACAGAAAGAAAATGGAAAGAAACTAAATTTTTTGTGGTAGGGGTTGTAGCAGTTTTTAATTTTCTCTACATTTCTCTAGTGTCTAAATTCCCCAAGAAATTAGAAAATGACCATGTACTGCAATACTTATACAATCATAGAAACATACAAAATGAAGTTTTTTTAAAAAGTGGGTCTCTGAACAAGCATTGAGAGGCACTAACACAAGAAGAACACATATAAAGGGATGGGCAGCATCTACCTGATGAAACAAGGTTGTGAGGAAACAATGGAGGAGGCAGAAAGAACTCTATCTGGAAGAAAACCCAGTCTTAGGAGACTCATAGAGAATGCCTTTGGTTATAGAAGTCCCTTCTTTGATGAGTATCTTTCCCAAGGAGCTAATCTTGTTTGTGTGTGCTTCTAAAATGTGTCAAAATAAATACTGGAAATCCCATGAGGGCAGAAGGGACCAAGTCTATTTTGCTCACTGCTGCATCCCCGGAGCCTAACACACTGCCTAGAGTATAGTAGGTGCTCAATAAATGCTTGTAGAATTAATGAAGAATTCTGAGTTTAGAGAGGCAGCATAAAATACCCACGACTGGAAGTCCTTGGTTCAGCAGTGTGGGAGCTTGTGCAAGTCACTGAATATCTAGTTCCCTAGGTCACTCAGCTAATCTAGAGTTGCTTGTATGAATCATCAGCAGTGCCAATTTATCACCCCGGGGTTTTGGCATCCTTTAGCAACTTCCAGAAGAACGGTTTAAAAATTTTAAAACCCCACTTCCTAGCCCATAACATCCGTATCACCGTGTGTTAGAGTAGGGGCCCTGAAGGGTCAGGGTGCTCTATAACCTGCTATGCTAAGTCTCAGCTATAGAACACATAGTGGCCCTTTCCTTTCCTTTCTTTATGTCAAAGGATACCGATCACTAAGAAAAATCTCGTGCTCTCTAGAAGAGTGAGAGGCCTGAGTGTACTCATCCAAAAGAAAAGCTGGAGCTTTTTGTTCCCATAAAAACACTGCATCCAGGGAACTAGAGCCACTGAAATGTCAATTTAATCCCATCCTCAAGAACTGATGTTCTTTGTGGAGTTTGGAACACCAGAGCATGTACAGCTAGCCAGGTGTGGTGATGCTTTCTCTTAAATTAGAACTCACTTATTGATAGTAGTGTAATAAAAGGTAGAAAGCTTCCAATAAATATAAAAACACTTTTTGTCTGTCTCCTTGCAAACAGATACATGCCATAAGACGTCATAATGCTGCTAGTGAATTTGCTCATCTATGCTGATCCAGATGGCCTCTCAGCGAAAAAGGAATTAGAAAACGGGTAGCAAGGAGAAGACAGCAGGGTGGGTGAAAATGAGGAAAACTAAAACCAAAAAGGTGCTTACAAAACCTTAAAAGAGATGGTATTGTCAGAAAGTTAATAGGAGAAATCACTGAAGAACTGAAAACAAGGCCTTGCAGAAAGCTTCCCTTACATGCTTTGTAGAGTGATATAGTTAGAAATACCAGTTCTAAAGGAAGACATCCTGGATTCCAATCCTTTTTGCCACCGATTACTTATGGAGCCTTGGGGAGTTTGCTTAACCTCTCAGTGCCTCTATTTTCTCATTTGTAAGATGGGGATAACAACAAGTATGTCATAGAGTTGTCGTGAAGATTTAAATGAAATAATTACATTACAGAAGTGCCTGGAACACAGTAAATGCTATCTGCTAGCTCCTCTCATCATTATCACCATTCCCTATTTCCAGAAGTGCAGTAGGTACATTTACTTTACTTAAGCACCACCCTGACATTTAGGAAATCAGGTGAGTCTAAAACTGATAGAACACCTAGAAATAAGCCTTACAAAAATGTGCAAGACCCACAGCAAGAAAACTATACAACTTTACTGAAGTATATTTTAAAATATTGAATGAAATGTACTTCAGTAAATTCGTATATAGTTGGCCCTCTGCATCTGTAGATTCAACCAACCACAGATAGAAAATATTCATAAAAAAATTCCAGTAAGTTCCAAAAAGCAATACTTGAATTCACTGTGCACTGCCAATAATTTACATGACATTTACATCATATTTACAACTATTTACATAGCATTTACATTGTATTAGGTATTATAAGTAATCTAGAGATGATGTAAAGTATACGGGAGGATATAGACAGGATATATGCAAAAACTATGCTATCTTATATAAGGGACTGAGGATTTGCGGATTTTGGTACCTGCAAGGGGTCCTGGAACGAATTCCCCACAGATTCCCAGGGTTGACTATAGTTTTCTTGCTACAGTTCTTGCATATTTATGGCATAGAGTACAGTGATACTTCATGGATGTATACTTGTCTCCAAACTCATCAAGTTATATTCATTAAATACGTAGAGGTTTTTCCTTGTCAATCATATCTCAATAGAGTGATTTTTAAATATTTAATGAAATGGAGAGTTAAATTAACATGAAATTGACTGATCCTATAAAGATGTAAATTCCATCCAAAGTAACTTAAATAATTTAATGCTATCCCAATCACAGTCTCAACAAAATCTTCTTTTGTTGTTATTGTTTTGCTTTGTTTTGGTTTTTGGTGAGGGAATTGACAAATTGACTGTAAAAATTTATTCTGTTGGGAAGACCAAGCTAAACTGCTCTATCAGATATGAGCTGTGAAAGGCCTTTCTAAGAAAAGCATGGGATCTAAAAGCAATAAAGAATTTGAATATATAAAAATTTAATGCTTCAAAATGCCAGAAAATACTACAAGTATATTGTCTCTTATATGTATTGTGTTGCATATCTGTTACATGTATGACATATATATGCACATTTAAAATATGTGTGTATGCATCTATGATCAATTAATCTTTGACAAAGGAGGCAAGAATATAAAATGGAGAAAAGACAGTCTCTTCTATAAGTGGTGCTGGGAAAACTGGACAGCTCCATATAAAACAATGAAATTAGAATATTCTCTAACACCATATACAAAAGTAAACTTAAAATGGATTAAAGACCTAAATGTAAGGCTGGACTATAAAACTCCTAGAGGAAAACATAGGCAGAACACTCTTTAATATAAATCGCAGCAATATTTTTTTCGAACCAGCTCCTAGAGTAATGGAAACAAAAGCAAAGATAAGCAAAAGGGACCTAATTAAACTTAAAAGCTTTTGCACAGCAAAGGAAACCATCAACAAAATGAAAAGACAACTTATGGAATGGTAGAAAATAGTTGCAAATGATGCAACTGACATAGGCTTAATTTCCAGAATATAAAAACAGCTCATAGAACTCAGTAACAAACAATCCAGTCAAGAAATGGGCAAATGAACTAAACAAACATTTCTCCAAAGAAGATATACAAATGGCCAATAGGCACATGAAAAAATGCTTAATATCACTAATTATCAGGGAAATGCAAATCAGAACTACAATGAGGTATCACCTCACACCTGTCAGAATAGCCACCATTAAAAAGTCCACAAATGATAAATGCTGGAGAGGGTGTGGAGAAAAGGGAACCCTCCTACACTGTTGGTGGGAATGCAGTCTGGTGCAGCCATTATGGAAAACAGTATGGAAATTACTTAAAAAACTGAAAACAGACCTACCCTACGATTCAGCAATCCTATTCCTGGGCATATATCTGGAGGGAACTCTAATTTGAAAAGATTCATGCACCCCAATGTTCATAGCAGCATTATATACAATAGTCAAGACATGGAAGCAACCTAAATGTCCACTGACAGATGACTGGATAAAGAAGTTGTGGTATATCTATACAATGGAATACTATTCAGCAATAAAATAGAATAAAATAATGCCATTTTCAGCAACATGGTTGGACCCAGAGATTGTCATACCAAGTGAAGCCAGAAAGAGAAAGAAAAATACCATATGATATCACTTATATGTGGAATTGTAAAAAAGGACACAAATGAACTTATTTACAAAACAGAGGGATTCACAGACATAGAAAACAAACTTATGGTTACCAGGGGGAAAGGGGGTCAGAAGGGATAAATTGGGAGTTTGAGATTTGCAGATACTAACTACTATATATAAAATAGATAAACAACAAGGTCCTACTGTATAGCACAGGGAACTATATTCAATACCTTGTAATAGCCTATAATGAAAAAGAATACAAAAAGGAATATATATATATATATATATATACACACACACATACGTATGTATAACTGAATCACTATGCTGTATACCAAAAACACATTATAAATCGACTATACTTCAATAAAAAATAAATGTATGTACACACACACACAAAACACTATGCAAATATATACATACATACTTATCCACAGCAGAGAAAGAATAGCCAGAATAAGTAAATAGCTCCTCCAAATTAATAAGAAAAAGACAAACAATCCACTAGAAAAAGTGAGTAAAATATATAAATAAGAAATTTAAAGAACAGAATGACTAAGCATGAAATAATGCTCAGTTTCACTCATAATTAAAGAAAGCAAGTTATTAAAACAGTTATAGTTACACAAATATTTGGTTTAAAATATGAAGAAACAGGCACATTCATACACTACTAGTGGGAATATAAATTCATACGTTTTGGAAGGGTTATTTGGCAGTACTGATAAAATTCTAAAGGAGCATATCTTTTCACCTAGCAATTCTACTGCTAAGAATTTATTCTACCAAGTATCATTCCACTACACAGATACTTATAAAGATGTTCACAGGAACATAGTTTGTAATAAAAAAAACTTTTTTAGGTGGAAAATTATAAATAAACTTTAATCTTACCAAAAGCCAATTATGGAAATAAGAATGGTCCAATGCATATAAGGGAAATATATATTTATCATCATCATTATATATGTACGTATAAATAACTTTTGAAGAAATATTCTCATACTTTTGAAAAAGACATGTTGATGAATAGAATGTTTAATGAAGTCATTTTGGGGGCAAATATATATATACATATACATAATATGTTGTATGTATGTTTACATTTACATAGTAAAAAGAAGTCTGGAAGGATATACACTAAACGGTAAACAGAGATTACCTTTGGGAAGTGAGATTACATTTCCTGTTTTACATATATTCTACATGGTTTTGAATCTTTACCATAACCATGTATGATTTTTATAGTTAAAAAAATAAGGATCCAAGGACCAAAAATAGTAATAGACGATCATGGTAAAAAGAAACTGAAACCATATAAAAGGGTATAAAGTAAACGCTAAAAGGTGGCTGACTTCTCATTTTCACTCCCTAGAGGTAAATCGTTTCTTGCATACCTTTCTAGAAATAGTCTGTCCATATACGATTTCCTGCAGGTCATTCGGTTTGTGCGTTATCACTTTTATAATGCATACATATTTTAATTAGATGATTTAATTACTCTCAAAATTCTCAAGAGGAAAGGCATCATCATTTCTGGGGACTTTTCTCCCCAGACTACTGTCAATTCTAGGCATGTAAAAAGCTTCAAGACGAATAGAACTTCATGAATAATTCTTAATGGAGAAAAAGAGAAAAGAGGGCAAATTTCCTCCTGACATTTATTTGCCAAGCAGGGTCAAGCACCCAATAGTAAGGAAATGGTCCAACATCCTACCCACAGCTGTCCCAGCTCCAGCCCAAGCAGATGAAGCTAATCTCAGGCTGTTAAAACTCATTAACAGAATTTTATCTCGGCTTTGAAAACACTGACTCACATTTCATCCTCTGCTTACAGGTCTTAACTCATCTCAGGATCCCTTTTACAAAGTGGGAAATTAAGACAGTGACCTCTTTGGTAACTTCCTTTAAAGATCACAGAGAAGGTCAGAACTGGGACCAGGTCTGACTCGCATCAGTATTCATTCCATACTTGTTTTTCTTTCTCCCCGCTGGAGTTGGGAGAAGTGATTAAATTAGTGGTTCCCCAAAGTGGCTGATCAGAATCAACCGGGGTACTTCCAAAAAATACGGATTCCTGGTCCCCCCACACTCATATTGATTCAGGTCAAAGCATGGAATGTAAATTTAAAAAGGAGTTTTCACCCAGTAATTATGTTTTCTCATGATCAGTAATATTTGGGAACCTCTTATTTAAAGGCAGCCATCCCTAAAGCAACCAACGAGCCAAGCAAGCAAACAAAAACTCTCAGTACAACTTAAACACTGTGGATAGGAAAAATGTCCTACTGGATGCTGGTATTACATGCTTCTTCTGGGCCCAGAGAGGGTTTATCTGTGGCATTTTTAGTCTGGTTTACCCCGGTTTAAGAAATCTGACAGGCCTGAGACGTCTGGCTCCCCAAGTTCTCTGACTATCGGTGCTGTCCAATAGAAATTTCTGCAGAAACTTTCTGTGGAAAGTTCCATAATACCAGTACAGTAATCACTAGGCAAACAGCTATTGAGCATGTGAAATGTAGCTAGCATGACTGAAGAAGTAAATTTTTCACTTTTCATCATAATTTAAATAGCCACATGAAGCTGGTAGCTGGTACACTGGACAGCTCAGGTCTAGATTTCTAAGACCTTTGATTTAAGTGGAGCCCTCCCCTCAACTGACCCCACTCACCTCTACCCAGGGGGACTTCTGCAGAGATCAGGGTCACATAGAGCTGATAGGTCAGCTGGGGCACTGAGCCCAGGAAGGCTTGGATCTGTGACATACGTTTGTAGGCATTGCGGTGCATGGCCAGGGTCCGGATGGAGTGGCCCACTTCCCATTCTATCAGCACCTCCTCGCCATCTATTAGCATCTTCTTTCTGGTGAGGCTGACATAGGGCTCCTCCTGCCCCTCTTTCTTCCACAGTGTGAGGTACTTAATCATGGCCTCCAAACATCTGCAGAAGTAAAGCATCACGGGAACTTAACTAAGACTGTCCTGGGAAGGAAAGTTGCAGTGGTGGGAGGGGATAACTCAGGGAGGTTGTGCTACTTTTTTGCCATTTCTTCTCTCCTGTTCTACTCATTTCTCATGAGTCAAGGAGTTGGTTGTGCCTTCTACAAGTTACTTGAGTCTAAACCCTTTTGTAGTCAGTCATTGACCAACCTAAGAACACCAATTCAAAAGTGTCTGAGGACTTAAGAAATTGCTTTATCTCCTTAAGAATAAGCTTGTGATAGAAAAGTGGCTTGAACACAAAGACATTAATAATGTGTCATGAGAAAATCATGAAGGTTCCAAAAGGCTCTGGTTTTCATAACACCTCAAGCTCCTGAGGTAAAGCATTTCTTATTCAAAGCATTCAGCTCCATTATCAAGGCTTTTGAGCTCTGCTTTTTCAAGACAAAGTCCACACAACTATAACTGTCTCAGCCAGAGTCTTGGACAGCATCTGGGGAAAACAAACTCTGGAAAGCCATTTAGCAGCAAAGGTACTTAAAAGACTTGACAACTCAGAACTGAATGTACTATATACCTAGGGAACTTCAAAAGATCTCTTTAAGGGTTGTTTTGGGGGGCCCTCTTGACCTGTTTAGGAACGATAGCCTTTTAAACTTCATGCTTTCTTTACAAAGAGGAAAACATCCTTCTGAAAGCCTATCACCCTTGAAAATGGTGAGATCACATTTCCTGTTGTACCCGTCCCATCTCCCCATGTAAATCAGAAGTCTTTAGCAGTTCTGATGTGGTGAAACGAAAAGCTACTAGAACATCTTGTTTTGGAACACCTGAGTTACCACTTCCCCTGCTCACCCTGAAATGAATGGAAAGTGTGGACTATTTCTTATGATAAGTAAGAACAGTTGTGTCGAAAATTAAGCTGTCTTTCCTGATAGGCTGAGCGCATGGGTTGTACTTATCCTGTCCACTGCACTTACCACATGGAGCATTGAATAAATATGTGCTGAGTAAGAAGGAAGAAAAGAATACAGAGTGAGAAGTGATGAGGGGAGATGATAATAATAATGGCAACGTAATTTAACAGAAAAATAGACTGAAGGCAAGCTCAGAGATGTATATGCTCTCCGGACCTTCAACTCCCAATATGAAGATCTGGAACATGCGCTGCCATTCTCCACAGGACCCCTTTGGTGCATGTGTGCCAGCCTGAAGCATGTAGTTTGAAACATCCACGTTGTAGGGACAAACTCTAAAATCCAGGGAGAAAAAGATAGAAGGAGAGAACAGAGAAGAAAAAAAGCAATTTTCTCTTCCTATTGTGGAAAAATGCATAAGTGCATTTCCAACAAAAGATTTTCACTTTTAACCTGAGCCCATCAATGCTATTGCTGAATAAAATATTGGGGGAGTCAATGGCATGAAGCATTCTGTTTACGCTTCTGTTCTATTCTTAAGGCTACTTACTGGTTTAAGTAACAGTGTCTGCCTTGCCTATAAGTGTCAGGAAATTAGAGTACATTTTCATTTTCAGAAGTATCTTTGTATTTCATATAAGGGAGCCAGGCCCTCCAAACACCTTCATGTGCCTAATAGCACTAATCAAGTTCCCACCTACCTAAAACATAATTTGCCTTGAAAATAAGCATTATCCAGGGTATCACTTATGAGTTTTTAATTATTTTTCCCTGCTGTGGGGTTAGCTGATTGAGATTACAAATGCTTTCCAATCATTTCTAGTGGAAGCTGAATGACAAAAATGAAACAGTACTCAACACTCCACATGGAGAGTCCAAATCAAAGATGGCTTGGGGGCCACAAAGCAAAGAAAGAAGTCAAAACTGGGAACTGGGGCAGTATTTACTGAAATTTGCATCATGACAGTGCTTGATCTGTTAACTCAATATATTGTATTTGCAAAGGGGGAGAACGGTTTCCTTGCTTCTCTAATCTCTAAAAGGACATCTTGGTTCCAAGTCAAAATGAGGTCTTCCTTTTACATCTGACCTTCAAAGATTTAGAACTGGAAAGGACCTTTAGATTACCTTGTCCAGAGGTTGTACATAACAGAGGCTGTCTGGCCTAGACTGTGTTTTTATTTGATTACCATAATCAGTTGTCAGAACTTTAAATCATTATATTTCACATAAAATCCTGTCTTGGGAGCTTCCTCTGAAAAGTGGGGCCCTGGCAATACTGGGTCCGAATTTCAACAGGGAAACAATGGGCCAGAGCTGTAGAGTGGCTGCCTCCTTTAGGCAGATCTTGCGGACTCCAGATTGCCACCATACTCTCTACTCTCCATCATTTCCCTAACACTGAGACTTCATTTTTATTTATCATCACAAATGAAGCTACTGTATCTTCTCATACTTGGCTTGCTTCACTCCTTTATGATACCTGCCTGGCCTCTGTAAGCATTTCAGTTTGAGATCCATAATCTAGCCCAACCCATTTATTTTAACAGACGAAGGAACTGAGGCTCAAGGCATCTTCAGGGATTTCACCAAGGCCATGTAACTAGTCAGTGACAAAAGGAGGACTAGATCCCAGGTCTCTTGAATTTCAGGCCACTGTTTCTGTTGATAGTCCATATTTTCTCTGATGAAACATAATCAATTCCTCCCCGTTTAAATAGATTGATTTAAAACAATTTTAAAGGGGGAATTCCATCCCTAGTTTCAGACTGTTTACTTCTCTCAGGATGAAGTATCTTCCCATTGCAATTACAACATCAACACTCTGACACACATTCCTCAGCTGACTGCAGGTTTCTGCCTCTCTTGCAATCCAGACAAACTTGGTCCATTCTTTCCTACTGACCTCATAAGTTTTGCAACATCTCCCTACCTTGGAAATACCATAGCATCCAGGTGAGACTTCTGGCACAGATGCCTGACTCCCTAGGATAAGGCATATTCTTGTCCCTTCAAGGCAATCTGAATGGAAAGACTCAATACTATCACAGGGTGCTACAAGCATCCAGATGGTGAGACAGACTATCTTCCTTTGCCCTTTTCTGTGTATTCTTTACTGCAGAAAGATACAAAGAGATAAATAGGAGACAGATAAACTGACAGAGAAAAATAAACTACAATGGCACAGATGAGCACAAATGGCTTAAAATATTTTCCAGATGTCAGATAACTCCAGAAAATTTGAAAATGTCAGTAACAGCAACCCAAGCAGCTCAGGGTAAAGAAACTGAATGTGAAATGGAATGGAGGGGGTTAGGAATTTTCATTCAATTTAAAGAGCAGCTAAAAGGTAGAGTCAAAATAACATACTCAGAAGCTACGATCTGTTTTCACAAGGTGGCGACATCAATTGGTCCCATACAATTTTCACAGCCCAAATCCAGATAGCAAACATTGTCTAATGAAATCTTATCAATGGTAACCATACAGTTTTAAAACACAGGTACAAGCCACATCTTCACCGTGGTGGCACTTAAGAATGCAGATAAAGAGTTTTTGGATGGTAGGCAGGGAAGCCAAGAGTGGGAGAGAATGGGAGAATCACTTAGAGGCACAGTATCAGTCTTAGAAATATTAAATTCATCTTTCTGTGTACAAGTCGGGTGTAGGGGAGGAGGAAAACAATTCAAAAGTTGCTCACCTAATAACAGGTCCCAAGAGGATTAGATGCATAAACAATGAGAGTGGCTTGTCTTTGGCCAGATCTCTGTGGACAAAAATGAGGGTCAACTGGACCATAATGGATGAAAACATAAAGAAGGAAAAGGTGTATGTCATCCAGTAGGTTTCACTATTCTTCCGATAGATTCTAACCATGTACAAGGCAGATGCTGCCTCCCCACAGTACAAAAAAGTGGAGAAGAGGATGCCAAATGGAAAGGTAAATCGGGGGTTGGTTCCACGGATGACATCTTCCTCCAGAGAGGACACTGGCTCCACGTTTGGCTCCTCAGGAATTTCAAAAACTTGGTCCATTGTCGAGGTTCTGAGTGTTGTGGTTTGGTCTTCAGAGCACCTCTGCCACAATTCCCCTCAAGAGAATCCAGGAGCCACTGCAGTCCAAGTAGTGGTGAGGACAGCTGTCAAGTCCAACTCCACAACGTTGATCTACTAGTTAGAGCAGGAGACCACTGTCTTCTGGTCTCAGATTAGACTTGCTGGAGTCTGGGATGGAGAGCCCTGAGTGCCACTTTGAACTTGACTCCACTGGGCCTGGATTCCAATTGTCAAGATGCGTGCTGTAGAACTTGGACAAGGCAAAAGCAAGCATTTTAGCGCCCAGTCTGGAGTCCAGTTCCAGGACTGTAAAGAGCCATGGGAACAGCTGTTTCTGTGGCGACTCCGGCTTCGGCTTCAGCTTTCGCAGACCCCCAGGGATCTGAATCCAGAGGGAAAGCCACTGTGTCAGGGGACACCGACACTCAGCAGCTCTTCTCGGGGAGTCCTGACCAGTGTGCCCTCTCCAGTCAGCTGAGAACTGAGCCAGGGCAGAAGAGGGGGAGCAGCCTAAGCATCCCTTCAGGGATTCAGTTCAGTGCCCAGGTACCCTAGCTATCGCTAGGCTGTGGCTATTAGCTCGCCCGCTCGCCGGCGCCGGCGCTCTCTCCGGACCCGCGCAGAGTCGAAGGTTCTCACGCTGGCTCCTCGGATTCTCCAAGCTCCGCCCCCAAGGCAGCCAGGCCAGGGGCTGGAGCAAAGCCACAACCCCGTCCCGGAAGCGCAGTCTCGGGGAGAGAAGCAGAGCGCGCGCCTGCTACAGGATGAAGAGAAAGCTGGAGGGGCTTCTTTTCCAAGGAGAAACTTTGCTAGCGAAAAACACGACGTGCGGGCGCCAACCCCGCCAGACGGATGTCGCCAAACACTTGGGCGCCCGTCTGCTGCCGGGGTCCTGCCGGGCCCGCAATTCCAACTGTCGGTGGCTTCAGAAACTAAGGCAACGAAGGCGCCTGCGAGCGAAATGGGAGACAGCTGGGGCCAAACAAAACCAGCCTGCGAGTTCCAGGGCGGGCAGATGAAGGATGCTCGGTGCATAGAAGCGCGACAAAAAGGGGCTTAGGCCAACCTTCGCAAGTCCTTCTCACCACGACTCCCGGACCCGGGAGTCACAGCTCTCCTCTTCCCAACAGCAGCACTCACTCCTACCCCGCCCTCCCTAACTAGCTCGCTCCCACACTAGCTCAACCCACGCGGTTAGGCAGGTGTGTCTCACTCGGCCTCAGGGTTGAACCTCCCTAGGTCCTATTGCCCTCCAGATATTGTCACGGTGGGGTTGCGGGGGAGACGTGGGAGGCAGTTAGGCCATAGTTTCTTTTCCAAGCGAGACTGTATGCAGCAGAAGGAAGAAAGAAAAGAGTTAGAGGGGGTGTCAGGACTCAAGGTCAGCCTACAGACCCTGAAAACTGATACTATATATGCCTTGATTTCTCCACTTGCAAAATAAGGCCGGGATAGGAACTTTAGAATGAACTTTCAAGTTTTTGGCTGGAACGTTCTGAAGAGGTGCCAAATTCTAAATAGACTGGAGAGGAGCCAAGAGAGCTGTTAGTAAAAACTGAGAGAGCTGTCTTAAAGAGCTCTGTAAATTGCCTAGTTCTTAAGAGCCATTCTCCCCCACCTTGCTCAGCTTTTGTTTTTGTGCCTTCATTTGCATAATTCTCAACCCCAGGGTAAAAGAGAAAACAGCTGCCCCCTGGTAATATAAATGTAGCAGAACCTGTGCCAATCTCCTGCTGCTGCAGGAGGTCAGGAGAAAGAATCTATGTGAGGAGGGGCCAAGTAGCAGCCACCAAAAAAGGATGGCCTCAAGAAAGACAGTCTTGCCCTTGTGCTGGTTTTTTAAGATTCCTGCAATTGCTGCCTCCTTTCCCTAGGGCTGATTCAGGGACAGATCAGCTTTTAAAGATTGTTGCCTTTGAAGCTGACACTCCAGCTTGGTCTGCACCTGTGCTTGCAGCTGGGCTAGCAGGCTGATCCTCCCTCCTTTCTGTTTCACAAGGCAGGTCAACACTGAGAACACTTCACACTTGATGGGCTGGGACTTTCCAAATAGCACAAGGTTCACTAGCAACAGTGTTACGGTGCAGAATTTCTTGGGGGTTTCTCAGAAAACTATTCTCAAGGTGGATCACAAGCAGGGTGACCAGCTCATCTCAGTTCGCTGAGATGGGATGAGTTGGTCACCCTAGCATGGGAGACTGAAGCTAGGGAGATTAGAATCCACATGTTTTGCTTTTAGCCTTTCCTCTTTCTTCCCTGTGCCCTTGCCGCTCCCCAAATACGCAAATCTATGATGCCTTCCTATTTTGTTCAAATATGACTCCTTCTGTCTGCCATTCAAGGCTTTCTATAATTATCACACAATTTCCCTCTCCAACTTCATCGCCCACGTTACCCAGCCACACCCTTTGCTCCAGTCCAGCAGGTTTTCTTGCTTAATCACATTTGGTTTGCACTTTCCATGCCTTGCTGAGGCCATTTTCAGCCTCCTTCACTCTTTTTTCCATTAGTCCAAACCCTAACCTTCCTTCAAATGTCAGCTCAAGTACTACCTCCTCCAGGAAGCCTTCCCTCACTTCCCCAACTCATACTTTTCCCTGTCTTTGTGCTGCTGGCACATACTCTCTTGCTCTGGTCCTTCAACTCTTTCTGTGTCTGCCCTGTCCTGCCCCCAACAGAAGCGCAGACTCAGGGAGGGATGCTCAATTAATGTTTACTGTGGTTCTTGTTGATGACAATGGTGATTAACAAATAGTGATGATGATGATGAAGCCTCCTCTGCTATTCATCCTCCGGGGAAACATGAGGCACACTCATCTCTAAAAGCTGTAGCCACTGTAGCTGGGGCATAAAGTCTTTTGGGACACCCACTGCCTCAGTCAGCCATTCAGGTCACAGAGGATGTCAGCCCACAACATCTGTCCCTTCCCGGAGTTCCTATAGCACTTTTTCTGTTTCTCAGTCCAACAGTTAAGCAACAAATTACAAATTATTTCAAGTCTATTAATTTTTATTTCACAACTGAATTACTATAAGCCCCTTGAAGGCAGAGCCTACTGTTATAAATATTTTGGATTCCCCCAAGGCTGGTATAGACCTGTAAATCTGCCATCTGATCCCCCTTACCCACCAGCTTCTCTGTTTTCAGCTGCAGGACTCCCTGGCGCTCCAGGTCACTAAATCCTCTGGTCTCTTATTTCCCTGTTCCTTTTGCCCTGCTAGGAGAAACTAACTGAGAATTTGCCCTGTTTCGGTCTAACTCTTTCCTCTTTTAGGCAATCTCTAGACTCCAGCCCTTTACTCTTCCTAGGACTAGAGATGCTGGAGATGTTTACAGTCATGAGACTGCTGAGGCCCTGGGAACTTCTTCCCCATAAAGATCACTGATCTCCCAAGGACTGATCATGTGCGGTGACACCCCTAGGCTGTGCCCTGAATGCTAGGCCGTGTTCAAAGGTTTGGTTCTCTAAGAAAGGGAGACCCAAGATTTGATTCCCCATTCTCCCTACACTCAGCCCCCAACTCAGCACGAACAGAGAACCGATGTAAAAGGCATCTGGTCGAAAAGCTCTTGGCATCTTTATCAGGTTTCAGAACCCCTCTGAACCATATAAGGCCCAGGGATAGGTTTGGGTTTTCAAAGCCCACTGCAGCCAGAGCTGACTCATAAGAGGTAGGTGGCATCCACGAGGGAAGAGGATAGGAAGGAGACTGCTGTGCAGCAAGTGGCTCATAGTCCAGTCACAGAACACTGTTTGGTGGGAGGTGATGGGCCAGGCCCAGAGAATCAGTAGCTAGGATGGAGGAAGGCTTCCTTCTAGAGGACACTCAGTTTGGACTGTTCGAATCCTTCAAAGATACCTAATGCAAAATCAGTCACCTATCCTCTGGGCCGTCTCTTTTTAAGTTCCCTGGGGACAAAGACTTTTGCCCATCTTATTCTGAGCCACTCTCTCAACAGGTATCATCCATTTCTCAAAGTGGCCGAATCATTTTACATTTCCATCAGCAGTGCGTTTCACCACATCCCAAACAGCATTTGTTACCTTTTTTCATTATGGACATCCTAGTGGTTTTGGATTTTCACTTCTCTGATGGCTAAATTGTGTGTGTGTGTATTTAAGGTCATTTGACCTTACTGGCTGGCCACAGTCATTGATTACTTCAATAAACATTTATTTGTAATAGCAATGAGCAAGACAAAGATCTCTGCTCTCAAGGAGTTCACACAGTATAATAGACATTTGTCCTTTTGGGGGTGTTGCTGTACAGCATTTGAACCCTTTTGTTTGGGGGAGAGGACATAGGAATCTTGTAAAGAAGCAGGCCCTCCTTGGAGTTGGGGCACAGGCATATGACTTCACTCAGTTCAAGGATCCATCCCTTGAATTGGGAGCTAGGGACCCAAAGAAGTGGACAATCTTCTCCGACTGAGACAGTCATGAAAATGTGCCTCTTGGTTCTTCCAGTGGGGGAGAGTGTCAACGACCTTGGCCCCAGCTGCTGTGCTTTAAATTCACCCCAATATTTGCTGCTTTGCTCTGAAGCCACACTGCTCCCAGCCAATGACTGAGCACAGCAGGAATCCTAAGTCAGGCACACTTCTAGGAGATGCAGGACTATGTGGCCTGTGACTTTAGTAACAGGACTCCCCATCAGTATGGTGGAACTTTATTAGCACAGCACTTCAGCCTATGACTCTTCCTACCCCATCTTCTTTCCTTCTCCCATCCAAAAGGTCAGATTTACACTGCAGTGTAAGAGCTCTCCCAGCTTCCTCTGGTTCCCTCCCTAGGTTCCCTCATAGACATTTTCCCACAATAAATCTCCTGCATGTCTAATCCCAGCTTGGTTTGTGCTCCTCTGAGGACCTGAGCTAACATACTAATGGTGCTAGCATGGCAGCAGTAAGGGTGGTAGCTGTGATGTTGGCTGTGTAGCCCTGAGTCTGGTTCTCTGGTCCAATGTGTGATTCTGTAAGCTATTCAAAATGCTTTTAAGCATCTTCTGCTTAAATTAGCCAGTCAATTTCTGTTGCTTGCAGCTAAGAACCCTCTGGGTTATAGGGAAAGGGACAAAAACATTCAATTACAATATAGCATGACAAGGGTTATGACAGGAGCAGAGTCTGTGGTAGCACACAGGGGCCACCTAACCCAGGCTTTATAAATCTTCTCAAGTGAAATAACCATGTGCTACCTGGAATGGCTAATCAGCTCGTTTCACAGGCCACTGCAAATTCAACAGCGCAAAACCATCTTCTCAATTTTCCATTTCTCAGGCAGTAGCTCTCATAGTTACATTCACATGAGAAGTTTCTGAGGAGGAAGACTGCTTGCAGATTTCAGGGCCCCATCCTTTAAGCAATGCTCAAGTGCTCAGATGATCATAACTTGAGAAAAACTGTCCCAGGGATAGGTCTACAATCTGTTCCTAAAATAATTTCATCCATCATCATAGTGTGCATTTCACAGATGCTGGCAGCAGTTTTCCCCTCTATGGCCTGGGCCAGAGTAAAGAGATAGATTTAAAAGTCATTCCACACAAGGGTCCTTGATTTCCTTTGGCTGCGCACAAAGACTATCACCTGTAGTTTGCTCCCTAGCACAATTCGGTAAGAATTAAACTATCTGCACACGGTTTCATATTCTTTCCTATTTGGCACATTATACATTTGTTGGACCTCAAGGTGCTCAACCCTATGGCCAAGGAAAGGAGATAGCCAAGCCGTGCCAAGAGGAGAAAGGCACTTCCCCTAGACTATATGATGACTCAATGGATGTACCAAGAGAAGAAAGCTTGTGTAAGATCATAAATCTTGTGCCATTACCAGATGTCTTCCCCATACTCCTGCCTCTCCTACTTGGCTTTACTTCAAAAGGGTCCTCTAGTTGTAATGGACTTCAATTCTAACTTTAAAAAAAAAGATGGCATTATTATTAGTGGGAGAAGTCAGAGCAGCAGGGAAAGTAAGGTAAATTAGGTTGGAAAAGTCAGATCCTGGAAAGAGAAAGCATGTAAAAACAGGGTAGTGAGATCACGGCAGGGCAGATAATGCAGAGTCCTACCTGTCAGGACAGAAATCGGGCCATGTCAAATCTCTCTGACAGACAGAAGCAT